AAAAAAAAAAAAAAAAATCACTTTACACAAGAATCTCAATTCTTATCTCTTATGATATTGCATGAATTCACAAATGCCAAAAATCTATTTTCTAAATGTTAGTTAATAAAGGCATGTTGACAGAACAAAAAAGGTGCAACTTAAATGCAAGAGAGTGCAGCACCTGGGAAATCTACAGCACACACACGCTAGAGTTACTTGTAGTTTATCTTAAAAAAAAAAAAGACAGCTGTTGCAAGCATCTGTTGATTTAATGACTCAATAACTAGCTTTTCAAGACAAACGTGAATATATTGTGAATACTTTCTATGCTGTGACAGAGACTAACGTTAGCGGAGCAGCACAATCCAGCAGTAACAAACGAGACCACAAAACTATATAATATAAATTTACAGCCGATATTCTCACTGAGATTATAGGAATTCTTCCACCACGCCGTCTTATTAATGACATAGTTAACATATTGAAAAAGTGGCCTAGTTATAAAGTATAACAATGCATTTCAGGCTCTGCCACTTTTGTCTACATGATAAAAACACAATTAAGAGCCACTAGCACCAATAAGCTGGTGGCCCTACAAAGATGAGCCTTCTGTTCTATTAAAGAAAGCAACCTTTACAGTATGAAAGGCATGAAGGCTTGGCTTGGGATATGCTTCGAACACTCATAATCCACGTACACCACACACTGACAAACAAATCAAAGTCCAGCACTTTGATAGTCTGCAGCCTCGACATGACCCAATGAACATGCAGTCTGTCCTCCAGACCTTCAGGTGGCAGCTTAGTACATGAGGTCTGCTGGCTCCCAAAGGGCTATGAGATGAGAAGACGGCAGTGTGGGTAGGAGTATAACACTTACCTGTAGAGTCCAGGTTGTTGGCATTGGTGTTGTTGCCAAATACTGAGTCAAAGTCAACGTTAAGGCCTTGAGAGTTCTGTGGCTGCTGGGGCGTTGGGGAGGCTGTAAACACTGGTGGCAAAGAGAAAGATAACTATCAGGATCCAGATACAGACACCTCAATAGCTGTTCTTACCAACACAACCACAAGCAGGTAGAAAAACATCAAATATTTGTTAGATTCTTCCTGTTAGAACCAGTCATATACTTACAAACCACTTGTTTTACAGTAAAAGTATTTGACAGTGCTATTTGGCAAAACCACTTGACTTACTAAGCTGTACCAAAATAAAATATGGCTTTTATGCCATTAGAACTCAATCACCCCACATCAAGTTTTTATAAAGCTGTTCACTAGTAGCTATTTACTACTAAGTGTGCAATTCTTAATTTTTCTGAACTTTCTAAACTAAATGTACCATGAAATGCTACCATCGAGCAACCATCCCAACCACTGCAGTAGATTCATGTTTGCTGAAGAGAGATATAGAGACACAGTGATAATTAAGCTGATGATCTTTAGTACACTGGTGATTATAATTATAATTGGGGCAGTGAAGAGCTGTAATTCCTATACCCAAAAAGAAAATCGGTATCGGTTCCATGTCAGTTTTGTTGCTGCAGCATGACCCATACAATTATTTTTCCAAAAACACATTTCAAAGTGAGACTGAAAAAGGAAACTTGTTGTTACTTGAGTAACATTTTTGAGACCTGTCAGAATCATAGTTAAAACATTAAGGCCTAAAATTTGGATTTTAAACTTTTTAAAACATGCCACACTCAAAAAAGGAAAGTAAAAAAAGTGTTGTTATGCTTTGTAATGATTTCCATACAAAAGTAATCTGGTTTTAAGGAAATCTATCTAACTTTGTCTTATTAAGACATCAAAGCTAATAGTGACTTCGATTTAACACACATATACATATACATATACATACACATACATACATAACAATAACAGTACAATACCAATACTATAACAACTACATACACACATTAATACTACAACACATACTACACCATACACATACAATACACATAACCATATATATTATATACCATATACACATTATATTTACATATACATATACACTATATATACAATATTATACATATATACATATACAATTATATAATACATTATATCATATATACATATACTATATAATAATATATATATACATATATACATATATACATATATACTATACATATATACACATATAAATATAATATATATAGTATATACATATATATATATTATACATATATATATACATATATATATTATACATAAATTTATATATACCATATAAAATATATATACATATATATAATTTACATATATATATATATATACATATATATAATAATACATATTAAATATATATACATTATACTACTATAACATATAATATACATATAATATACATATACATATAAATTCTATACCATGATCACGCAATATATAATACATATCATATACATAGTATAATAAGATATATATATTTATATCATATATTACATATATACATATAATATTACTATATAAGTATAATACATATATACATATATACATATATAATATCTATAACATATAGTACAATATACATATATAATATATAATATTACATATAGTCATTCATATATAAGTACATATATTTACAGTAATAGTACATATATACATTAAGCATATATATTAATAAATATATATCACTTACCACCTCACCCATCCTCATATAGCCAT